TCTGGACTAAGATCAGACAGGAAGCCCTGTGGCCCACAGATAAAAGAAGACTGGAAGGAAAAATGAGCTCAGTTTTTTTTTGGATTAGGGCAAATCCTTCATAAGGGAAAAGTACAATTTAGCTAGAATAAGGCTTAAAAAAAAAAAAAAAGCATCTCTACAAATCATGCATCACTTCCCTGGGGTGGAGGAGAGGGAGGGTATGGAAAGGACACAAGCTGTATTCACAGGGCAAAAATGCTTGACTCAGGAAGAAGGGCAGAGCAGGGAGTTCTGTGATGCCGCACAGGGAAGGTGGATCCAGTGTAAACAGTAATGTTCCTGTCACCCTGAACATGTGCAGTCCCCCGGCTGGTGACCAGAACTGATGCAAGAGCCGCCCCTGCATAAGTCACCAAGGTCACTAGGACTCTGCCTTCCTCTGGAATGAGATGGGGATGATCTCATGGCTGAGGTGAGAAGGGCTTCGGAAATTCTCTCCATAATGCCTGTCCCAGACACAGCAGCCACGTGTGACACTTTGGGGTCACCATGGAGTCATGTGTTTGGGTTATCTGTGTCCACTTTGGTTTTGGTCGTTGCTATTATTAATCTTTAAAAGGAAGAAAGAGAAAGAAAGAGAAAGGGAGGGAGGGAAAGAAAAAGGAAAGAAAAGAAAAGACAAACCAGGAAGGAAACAAAGTACACCACGTCTCCACAGTAGACGACAAGTTCTGGCGGCACTAAGCCTAGGGCCTAGGTAAGCAGAGGAAACCAGCATCTGACAGTGACTCAAGGTGATCACTTCTCAATTTCCTCAAATTTAAAATCAAGGATTAGGGCTGGGGGTGTAGCTTGGTAAAGCTCAGTGGTAGAGTGCTTGTCTACCATGCAAGAGGGCCTAGGCCAGCACCAGAACAAAACCAAAAATAACTTGGATTAGAATACTTGATTTTCCTAAACTTATTGACCACAAACACCTTTAAAGTTATGAGGTAATGATAGAAAACCTATAAATATTCATTAGATACAATATGCTTGGAAATAAGTAGATGGCAGTGAATAGTCCCATTGACCAATTTATCTCAGCAAAATAATTAAATTCTACATATAATCTGTATACATAAGTATGACACTATAGGTACAAATTTATAATATCAGAAATGGTGATAGTTTGCATTTTCAAGTAAATTTTTTTAAATTAATAGACATTTTTTAATAGAGCAGTTTTAGGCTTACAAAAAAAACCTTGAGGGACTGGGGCTATAGCTCCGTGGCAGCATGCTTTGTCCAGCATGTGTCCAATATTTAGCACCAGATAAAAATTAAAAAAAAAAAAAAGGCATTCTGTCCATCTATAACTACAAATTTTTTTTTAAAAAAACCTGAGAAGAAAGTAGAGTTCTCATGTACCTTGCTCTTTCCCTCCAACCTCATTACCTTGCATTGAGTGAGGTAATATTGCTTTTTGCATTTTTTAAAAATATTTTTTTAGTTGTTGATAGACATGATAACTTTATTTATTTGTTTTTTTTTTTTATATGACGCTGAGGATGGAATCCAGTGCCTCATACATACTAGGCAAGTGCTCTAGGGATTGGGGCTGTAACTCAGCCCCACAATCCCAGTCCTGGTAATATATTTTTTTTTAATATTATGAGTCCTGAATTTTTGTTCACATGTGACACTAATAATGCTTAAAAGACAGTTGGAAGTAATTTGAGAGGCAGAAGCTCTTTAAATTCTCTTTCAGCATTTTTGAGAAATGAGTAAGGGGCTTTCCCTTGCAAAGGGCTTTCCACCTGAGGATAGATATAGGAAAGGGACAAAGGTGAAAAAATTTTCTTTCTTTCTTTCTTCCTTCCTCCCTCCCACTCTCCCACCCGCCCTCTCTCTCAGCACTGGGGATAGAACCCAGAGTCTCATGAATTCTAGGCAAACACTCTACTACTGAGCTATACCTCCAGCCCCCCAAAAATGTTTATAAGACAATTTATTAAATAGGTGAAAGCATACATTTGTCTCAAAGCATTTTCTTTCCCATGGTATACTATTGAGTCAAATAACAATTCTATGAGTGTATTGCTCTGATCTGAAACACAAGGAAGTGAAAGTTAAGCACAAGGCAAGCAGACTTTCCCGTAGTCATGCAATTAATGACTGAGAGAAAAAGAGCAAACTTCCTGATATGCAGTTCCAGTCTCTCTGGACCTCACAGCTCCACATGGGGGTTATGTCCAGGTAGAGTGTTTCTTTACTGAGTCCTGGAAGATTGAAACCAGCTCAAATGAGACTTAGGACTAGAGAAAGGAAGTTCTGTTCTAGAGATTCAGGAAAACAACCTAAGAAACTTAATTCCATCCACCAAGGAATTGATGGAAGAAGAGATATGTTCAAGAAGAGTTTGATTAAATTCGTGTAGAATTCCATAATAAGTTATTAAGGAAAATTCCTATCGTGGCAAGCTCTCATAGCCAACTGTGCCATTTTAGTGCTTTGTGGGGGAAGACCACTGGGCTGGACCCACCAGAACCTGCCTAGACCCAGAATGGAGTCCGTAAGTCTCTTTATCAATAAAGCAATGGAAAAGTATCACTGAAGGAATGAAAAAATTCACCAATAATTACAGCACCTAATTTTCCAACACTTAATTTTCTCTTTAAAATCTTTATCCATATATCCATATAGGTCTTCCATTGTTTATATTACAGTTTGTATACAAATTTGTTTTCTATTTCTTGTGGGCAAGATAATTTTTCATTGATTTTATCTGTTTACATAATTATGTTATTAATCATCATAATGGCTACACAGTAGTGCACTATACTGACGTATCGTTTTGTACTATTCCTCTATTTTTGGACATTGAAATTATTTTTGGTTTTCAGATCATCAAAACAATGTTTTGGACCTATCATTACCTTGTATGGGAATTTTAAAAATTTTATTTAATGGAGCTGAATAGTCAAAGGAATTACAGCTCTAAGAGAATAACCCAATTTTCAATATTTTAGAATAATTTTTTTCAAATTGTTGGAATAATTTCAGACTTACCAGAGAGTTACAAGAATAGTACAAAGACCTTCCCTACAGCCTGGTGAACAATGTTTTGGGAGTGTGCTGGGGACTGAATCCAGGGCCTCTCACTTGCTAGGCCAGCCCTCTATTGCCACATCCCCAGCCCCATGGTGAGCACTTCTTAACAGGAATAACAATTCCTAAGTGCTCCTCCTATGCCTTCAGCTTGTCCTATTTGTAATTTCTCAGTGTATGTGTGTAATTCACACAACCATACTAGCAGCGTGTGTCTGGTTTAGATGAAGGCTACAGCAACACTGATTTCAAATCCACTGTCACATTTATCCCATTCCTGAAAAACTAGATGACTTCCAAAATCAAAAACTCTTAGTTTAAGCAGAATTTCCATCTTTAGGTTCAGAACTACATTGTCATAAGCTCCCTGTCCACTTCTCTTTTCTCTGGGTTTCCGCAGACATCACATCATTTCTTAATCAGCCTTTTTGGGGTCTCAGTATGGTCTTTGTTCTGGTGTCCCATCCTGCCACCCACTGCTGTGTTAAGGGGTCCAAGAAGCCCCTGTTCTCGGCCCCCGCAGGTGACGCACACATTCTGCGGGGGTGGTGCCCCACTGCACAAAGTAGTGCCTGCCTGGGAAAGGCTCTGGGGAATTCTTCCTTCAGTTTCTCTGTGCCACTTTGTCTTGGTGTTATCTGGGCCTGGATTTTATTTCTTTTTCTTGAAAGCAAAGGGCTTTGATGCAAGTTTCCCAGGATGTGATGTCACCAAGATTTATTTTCATTTTTCTCCCCCCCAACCCTGCCCAGCTCCCTGCAGCGATTTCTTGATTAAAATCAAAGTGCCCATTGTCACCATATCAGCCTCCCCACACCCACCTCCTCGAATTCTCAGGCTTCCCTGGAGCCTGCCAGAAGGAAAACAATCTTATTTATAATGGGAACACAAAAGCCCCAGTTTCTAGATCTACAGGTATTAGCTGGTCTGAATCATTGGGGTATATTTCAGCAAAGCACAGGGGTCACTCTGCCCCACAAACTCTCATCTCAGCTACACATCAATCAAGAATAATAGACGCCAACGCTTGAACCCCTCTCATGTACTTAATATGCATGTTGTCCCCTTCTAAGCCTCACATGACCTACTGATGAAAAGTTCCAGTGCAGCACAGTTAAAAAGCCTGACTGAGATCATATCCCTAATGACTGGTGCAGTCATGTTCAAAACTAAGACTTTCTCCTGTACTAGGCTACATCTCTTTGTTAGTCATCTGAAAAGGCATCAACCCATCAAACAGGTTGTCTTTCTCCAGGAGAATTTCCATTTGCTTGCAAATTCTAGAACACTGAAAGTCTTCTTTCAGCTGCCCAAGGTTTTAGGCAGAGCACCTGCTCAAAGCCCTGCCTTTATTCCACAGCCCTGCTCAGGGACTGCTGGAGCTGAAAACACTTCTGAGACCACCTAGTCCTGATCCTTCACTTTACAAAGAAGTGAAATAACTCTCCAGAAAATTCTAGAGCTGGGGAGTGGTAGGGCAGAAACTCAAACCCAGGACCTAAGGAAGCCAGATTCCAGGCTGGGGCACTTTCCACTGCAGGTAAGTGGGAGAGGATTGCCCTGCTCTTTCACTTTTATTGCTGAGTTTCCCACCGTGGCGCTTCCTATGCCTTGAAACAGCTGGTCCATCTGTCCTTGAAACAGCAGTTATTGTTTGGATTCTAAAAGACACCCCCACTCTCAGCCCCCTGCTAGTGTGTTTGTTTAGAATTGTAAATACTTCTTGCTGGGACACAGGAGCTGAGAACCTCATCTTGAGAGTTTCTTTAAGGCCTTTGAGACCAGGATTCTAAAGGAAGATGATTCTTAAGGTCCTGTCCAACTCCCAAATTCCTGTGATTCGATGACATCAAGACTGTGAATAATCAGGCAGGCATCGAGCCAGGACTGACTGCTGCTTCCACAGCGAACTTCCTCCCCTGCCTTATAAACACAGTCCCGCCCTGTTTGGCTCCCGCACAGCCCTGTCCACTGGGCATCCTCCACCACGGAGAAATCCACCCACCCAGTCCACTGACCCCACCCACTGCCCTGAACCTTAAAGGAGGCTGGAGCTGTTCATCGAGATTGGAGCTGAGATCCTGCAAGAGCCCAGAGCCAAAAAAGAAGGCCTGTGAGGAGAAAAGTCGCAAGAAGTCGTGGTAAGTTGAACTGCTGTGCCCAGCTCCTCCTCTTCTGTCTCCCTGAAGTCTTTCAGGCAAACTGAGCCAGTGAAGGCATGCTTCATTGAAGGGGCTGACTTCTAATTCAGGCATAAAGAGAATCGCTCCAAAGGGAAATCTTCTTTCTGCATCTGCAATTGCTCGAGAAAGGCTGGAGTGATTTGGAGGAAGGTGGGGGGTCACAGGAAGGGAGAGAATAGGCAAGATACATTTCTTGCAGAAATGTCTGCTTTTGCACAGTAAAGGAGAAAATGGAAAGAATTACATAGAAAAATCTTAGAATAGACAATGAGCCGACCACATGAGTAATGGGCAGTAAAAGTAAAATCAGCTGCACTCAGGACACGTGGCTGGGAGAGCCGGGAGGGCTGGGGAATGTCCAGAAGTGTTGTCTGTCTGGCTGCCTCCCTCCCTCAAGGAGCCCATGAAGAAACTGAGGTTGGTTTGCAGCAGACTCCTGAGCATGATTATTAGGTGAGAAGTGCTGGGAAAGAGAAGCAGGTGACTTCTAGGGATCTCTGACGTTTTCACTTGGGAGTTAGGGTAGAAAAAAATGCCTTTGATCTCCTCTCTCCCATCACCCTGCTATAATCCCCACCAGTTTTGTCCCCCAGCTTTTTTCCAAGTATGCATTAATCAAATGTGCAGTCCTCTTAAAGGACCTTTCAATTACAGAGGGGGAAAATAACAATATTTTTTATTCCTAACACTCTCTTCAGGAAGCATAGTAAGTCTCTTTAGGTTCTTCCTATTATTATCTTTATTTTCTTAACCTCAAAGCTGAGGGAGGGAGGGTGGGAAGGAGGGAAGTGGGAAGATATGCTAAGCTCCCAAGTAACTAAAGGCAAACTCAAGCACAAAGAAGTGTCGTAGCAATGACTTATTTGGTGGCCAATATGGAATAATATAGAGATCTCCTGCAGTTGATTGATGACAGGAGCCAGTGGGGTGGTGGGATATGTGTGTGCAACCCCTGTGAAGAAATCCTCCAAATACGACTCTAAGTGGAATTTCCTGAAAGGTGACTTCCTAGCAATTCTGTGTGGGGGCAGGAAGGCTCAAACTGAGATCTAAACCCTGGCTTGTCCAGAATCAATATATGCTGACAGGCAGGAGTGCGGGGTACGTTCCTCATGGCAGGATGAAGGAGTCAGACTGCGGGCACCAGCAGGGGCGCCGTAAATATTGAAACATAAATAGCTCCATCCTACCCATCAATTTATTCTGTCTAAAATGTTCTCAGAGACGCCAGCCTTGAGACTCTGAGTCTTGTCAGGATCGATGATAGCTGCCCCTTTCCCCAAAGGGCTCAGTCTCTGCCCAGACTTCCCAGAACCATCTCAGTTTATTTTGTGATGCCACCTATCATATTCTCCCAGTGTCTGCACTGTTCTCTGCTGTTTCATCAAGGGCCCAGGAGAGTTCATCAGCCAGGGAGGAGCTTAGGAATAGCCATGACCCTGCGGTTCATTTGAAAGCTTATTAAGACAGGGCTCTGGCCTTTGTTTTCCCAGGGCTAAAGAGTTGACAAGCAGAGCTGGAAAACCAGTGAATTTCCCACTCTTAGAATAGGCAACCCAGGCACACTTCTATACTTTAATTTGAAGTGACCATAGCCATCTATCAATTTTGGGGGTGAGTGAGTAGGAGGATCACAGCACAACTGGGAAAGTTTCCTGTTCAGAGGAGGCCTGTTATTCATCTGCCAACAGGAATTTTTTCAGTCATGGGGTTTTATAGCAGCTTACAGAGGTCTTGGCTGGATTCATCAATTTGGAAGGACTAATGCTAGTTTTAGGACTTCTAAAGCTTCTAGAGTGTATGTAGGTTATTTTCATTTTGACAGCTGAGGAAACAACCTGGGTCATAGGCAAGAGCAGCAGACTTAACTCCATTCAAAATACAAAATCAGCATGCTTTTCTGGAATACTGAGTATCTGGTAATGAGGAAGATTTTGAGTCTTTTGTGAAATTATTCAGTTGTCATTTGATTATTTGGCACTGCACATCTTCAGTCTTAGAATAAAATTTTTCTGGGAGTGATTTTCAGCTCTGTTTTGCTAAGATGATTAAGATAGGCAATGAGGTACTGGAATATTCTTTTCATCCCATCTTTGGGACATTTGTTTTGTATATTCAGGAGAAAAGTTCTGTCCACAGTTTCAGACTATAAGCCTCAGCCTAATCAAGTAGCTCACAAAACTCATGTAGCAGGTCTCAAACAAAACCTGGTGTTTTAGTCAGCTTTTTGTTTCTGTGACTAAAAGACCTGACAAAAAACAATTTTAAACAGGAAAAGTTTATCTGAGAGCTAATGGTTTCATGGCTCTCAATCCATAGACGGCCAGCTCCATCCCTCTGGGCTCAGGTGAGGCTGAACACCATAGCAGAAGAGTGTAGTGGAGGGAAGAGGCTCACCTGAGGATCATAAAGCAGAGTGAGAAACTAAGCTCAGCTCACCAAATATATACCTCAAATATATACCTAATGACCCACCTCTTCCAGCCACATCCTACCCTTCAGTTACTACTCAGTTAATCCCTGATAGGGATTAATTCACTGATTGGGGTAAGGCTCTCATAACCCAATCATTTCACCTCTGAATGTTCTTATATTGTTTGACATATGAGATTTTGGGGTATACCTCACATCCTCAACAGTTCAAGATTGCCCAGAATTTCAAGTCCAAAGTCTCCTCTGAGACTCAGGGCAAGCTCACATTGTAAGCTCTTGTAAAAATCAAAAGCGATTTCCAAGTATTCAATACATAGAGGTACAGAGTAAACATTTTCATTCAGAAAAATAGGGACCAAAGCAAGACTGAAATCCAGCTGGACAAACAAGTCCTGTGGCTCCATGTCCAGCATCTGGAGCACATGGCATGATGTTCTCTTCAAAGGGCCTGGGTAGCTCTGCCTCTCTGGCCTTGTTGGTGGCAGCGCAAGTGGCCTTTCTGTTAACTTGTCTCAGCTTTCCTGCAACTTTCCTTGGCAGACCATGGAACTGGCATTTCTTAATCTTGGGGTTTTCCACTGTAGCTTCAGCTTCCCCCTCACATATATATTCATGGCCCTCTTAGGGGCTGCCCACAGGGATCCTTCCTGAGGGCACTTTGCCTGGCCTCCCAGACCTTCCTTTGAAATCTTGGTGGAAGCCTTCATGACTTTATTACTCCAGCATCCTGCAATCCTGCAAATTCAGCACCATGTGGTTGACGCCAAGGTCTATCACCATCTTGAGCAGTAACCAAGTCTCCAGGAACCCTGGCTGTAGGAGCCTCTGAGTGCCTGGGTAGCTAGGGCCCCTTGTGCAAGAAGTGTGCCCACTGGTCTCTTCTCAAAGGAAGTTTTATTTTCACTCCCTTGATCCTGAAATGGGTATGGTCTTGTCAACTCCTTGAGATGCCTTCAAGCCATCTTTCTTTTTGTCTCTGGACAAAATCTTTAGCGTTTCTTTTGTGGCAATTGAATCTTCCTTAGCCCTCATTTTACTCCCACCCTTCAAGTCCAAAGTTTTTCAGATCTTTCTGCTCTGCTTTCTGTGCCTAATTATAACAATAAAATTGTCTAAAAGTCACCAGCAATATCCAGGCCACTGCCTGAATGCCATATTGCTAGAAATTTCTTCTACCAGATTAAGATCCCTGTGGGCACACTTAAGAGAGGGCAATGAGTATATTTGTGAGGGGGAAGCTAAAGCTACAGTGGAAAGCCCCAAGATTAAGAAATGCCAGTGCCATGGAACATCTGCCATTGCTTTTAAAATTAGCCTCACAGAAGTTCTCAGGACGTGGGCAAAATGCAGACAATTTCGCAGCCAGACCATAACACAAATGGCCTCTAGTCCAATTTCCAATAAAATCCTCCTTCTCTGAACTCTCTTGAACCCTGACTTCATTGTCCACTGTCCTGTTGACATTCTGGACTTCTGAGCTCTCATCAGAATTACCCATTAATCTCCATTTACAACAATCTAAAGCATTCCCAGTTTGTACTACGAAGTATCTCAAAATTCCTCCCACCAATTCTAAAATGTTTCAAAGCTTATGAACCACATGGGCAGGTTAGTCACAGCAATGAACTCCCTTCTTGGTAACAATTTCTGTTTTAGTTAGTCTTTTCACTGCTGTAACTAAAAGACCCGATAAAGACAATTTTAAGCAGGAAAAGTTTATCTGAGGGTTAATGGTTTCAGAGGTCTCAGTCCATAGACAGCCAGCTCATCCCTCTGGGGTCAGGTGAGGCTGAACACCATGGCAGAAGAGTGTGGTAGAGGGAAGAGGCTCACAAAATGATCAGAAAGCAGAGAAACTAAGCTCAGATCACCAAATATATACCCCAAAGGCACACCTTCAATGACCTACCTCTTCCAGCCATACTCTACCCACCTTCAGTTACTACTCAGTTAATTCCTGATAGGGATTAATTCACTGATTGGGTTAAGGCTCTCATAACCCAATCATTTAACTTCTGAATATTCTTGCTTTGGGGGACACCTCTTATCCAAACTGGTAAGAGTGAGGAGGTCTTAGATTTATAGAAAATCAGCTCTAGGAGGAGTTTAAAGATAATCCACCTTGATCCAACCCCAATCAAGCCACATGGTCTTCTGATACCAGTTCCTACCTGAGAAACAGACTTCAGTAGAAGGATACAGAAGGAAAAATAAACTCAATTTTTAATTACCCAAAATAGCTCCAGGGTCGGAAGGGAAAATAAAACCAGTGCTGGGTACACAGCATGAATTTCACAAACATATCTGAAGGGACAGCTCAGGAGAGCTCTGGTTCTGATCATGATTGCCCAGGGAATGCTAGCCTGATGCACGCCTCCTGCATGGTTGGAGCTCTATAGACATTTGATAGTGAATATATATTGTGAGTAAATCATCACCTGTGAATGCCAGGAAAGTGGAATCTTATCTGAGCTAGGGCTTGAGGTCTCAGTGTATGGTGAGGGGTCCCATAGGCACTGGGTAGA